AAGCCCCTGGCCGAGAGACGCGAGGCCAGAGGTTCAGCTGGTGAGCGGCGTACCGAGCCGCGTAGGGCCACAGAAAATGGGGCGCGCGGGCGTGGATCATGGAGGTGCGGGCGATCTCCATGACCAGGCCTAAGCGGCGCTCAGCAACCCCATTCTGCTGTGGAGAGTCTGGAAGAGTCCAGGACTGGGTGATGCCCTGCTCAGCACAGAATCTGGCGAGAATGCCGGAGCGAAACTCACCCCCACGGTCGGAGTGGAGACAACTGACACGACGACCACGAGTGCCCTCGGTGGCGAGGAGCCACCGGATCAGCGTAGAAGTCACGTCGGACTTCTTCGCCAAGGGGAACACGGTGGTGTACCGAGAGTAATCGTCAACGACCACCAAAAAGAAACTCTCCCGCTCAGGGCCAAGGCGGGAGGCGGGGCCCCAGACGTCTAAGTGGAGTGTCTGGAAGGGCTCGGTGGCCGGACGAAGGGAGGAGGAGTGAGGGGTGGCGCGAAGCCGACCCTGGACACACGGACCGCACGGAGTGGTGGGAGGACTCGGGGGAGGCCTAAGACAAGACGCTGACTGGACATGGCGCGCAGACGAGGAAGGGACGGGTGCCCCATCCGGTGGTGCCACAGAACGGTGGGGTGGGCAAGCGACCGACACGAGCACGACGCAGCAACTACACCTGACACAGCAACCTGACTGGACCCGGCTACCTGGTGGGACGGGGGAACCTGACGGGGGTCGGTGCGGAGGGTGTACAGACCAGAGCCCGGCTCCTGGCGGAAAGTGGCCAAGGGGGCGTACGTGTCACCGTCGACGCAGACTGCGGTGTCACCAGAAGGCTCAACCCAGACCCCGACGTGCTGTCTCGCCAGGGTGCCCACACCAACCAGGTTCCTAGAGAACGTAGGAACGTGGAGGCCGGTCAGGGAACCAGAAGGAGCAGCTGGGCACGGGAGAGTAGTGGCGTGAGTCGCAATGACCGGTCCCGAGGAGGGATCGGCCAGTGCTACAGGGACAGGCGCCGGTAGCGGAGAGAGAGTCGTGCAGTCGCGGAAGAAGCAGTGCGACGCTCCTGAGTCCAGTGTGAAGGAGAGAGACGCGTCCGCCGAGGGAGTACCTGTACTAGTAGCTAAACAAGATCCTACACTAGCACCTACTCTAGCAACAGGCAAGTACACAGATCCAAGAGCACTATAGTCAACATCAGTGTACATGGCATATGACCTAGCATCATCCATAGTCATATCAAAAACAGCAATACCACGAGCAAGAAGTGTCCCCCAACGCGGCGGCGGGGGAGCGGAGGGGCCGTGGTGCAAGAGGTAGAGGTCGTCGAGACGACTGAAGCAGCGTGCAGCAGAGTGGTCGGGGCGGCCACAGTACGAGTCCCTACGAGGACCCGTAAGGATCCAGTACTCACAGGGACCAACGTCGCGGCCGGCCGCGCGAGGTCCCCGACTGGAGGGGGCGCCACTGCGCCCAGTGCTCGGGGGACCCGCAGACCTCCACTGCTGCTGAGGGCCCCACTGCTGCGGAGGGCCCCACTGCTGAGGCTGCTGCTGCGGTAGGCGCTGCTGCTGGCCCTGTCGCTGCTGCTGCTGCTGTCCCTGCCGCTGCTGCTGTCCAGGCGGTGGCAGCTGCTGAGGAGTCGGCTGCTGCTGCTGCTGGAACCCCTCACCACCAGTGAAAACTCCACCGTCGAAAGGAGGGCCGTCAGGTCCCGAGCCACCCCCACCACCACTCCCACCACCTGCTCCACCGCCACCGCCACTACCCGCACCACCTCCAGTACCCCCGCCGCCCTTCCCGCCCTTCTTGCCGGCCTTGCCACGTTTCTGTCCGCCAGAGACAGAAACAGCCGCCGTCTCCTCAGAGGCAGAAGACGTGGGAGTGGCAAGGGAGGCAGAGAAGGTGGGAAGCTGTGGTACCGCGCACCCCTCAAAAAGACGAGGAGGAGGCGCGGAAGAGGCAGAGGCAACGGTGAGGAGGTTACTCTCGATCTTCGAGAGAGCAGTCTCAAGAAGATCGATGGTAAGCTCAGTGGGGTGCTTCAGAAGAAGCGCGTCGCGGGCTGTGGCTAGGCGGTCAGGGAGGCGAGTGACTAGCCAGTGAATAGTGAGCCACATAGGGGGCGGGGCAAGGGCAAGCTGGTCCTCAGTGCAAGCAGCGCGAAAGCGAGCGTCAAGGGAGCGCAGGTGAGTAGCGAGGTCAGAGACAGTCTCAAAGGAGGCGAGGTCAGGGTAGATAAAGGGTACGAGGAGGCGACTGAGCGACGCAGAGGAGGGAGTAGAGTAGCGAGCAACAATAGCCTTATACAGATCTGCAGCAGACTCGACCTGAGCGAAGTGGACTGCCTCTGTCGGCGGGAGAAGGTCGGTCAGGGCGAGGCAGGCAGCGGCGTCACGAGACTCCCACACGTCGCGAGCGAGGAGCTGGCGCTGGTAGTCGGCCTCCTGCTCAGAAGTAGGCGGTGGGGTAGTGGGCAGCGGCTGAGGCTGCGGAGGGGCGGTCAGAGTGCCGGACGCGTGCGCGAACAGGTGCACGCCATCCTGCCGCTGGCTCTTAAGGTGGCGCTGCGCCTGCGTAAGCCACGTACTAAAGTCAACAGGTCTCCCCTCAGGGTTAAAGCGAAGAACTCGGGAGGTCGCCATAGGGGGCGAAAGTGAGAGAACGCGGCTGCCAGCCGCGGGAGGGTGAGACAGTCAGAGGCGTGTGAGTAGACGCGCAGGCGTGCAGGCGGGCAAGCGGCACGGCATGCGGACAGGCGAGTGGCGTGGCGCGCTGGCTGGCGGACGGCGCGGCGCGCTGGCTGGTGAGCGGCGCGGCGCGCTGGCTGGCGGGCGGCGCGGCGCGCGGGTCGGCGGGCGGCGCGGCGGGTAGCGGAGTGCGCTGGCGCGCGCGTCGGCGTGACGCGCTGGCGTGCGCATCGGCGTGGCGCGCTGGCGTAGCGCGCTGGCGTTCGCGTCGGCGTGGCGCGCTGGCGTGCGCGCTGGAGTAGCACGCTGGCGTGCGCGCTGGCGCGGCGCGCTGGCGTGCGCGCTGGCACGGCGCGCTGGCGTGCGCGCTGGCGTGGCGCGCTGGCGTGCGGGCTGGCTAGGGCGCTGGCGTACGGGCTGGCTAGCGCGAATAGGGCAGACGGGGAGGAGGGGAGGTACGCCAAGGCTAGAGACGGCCTAAGGCTAGGAACGGCGGATACTGGGCGGGGCCTAGGAACGGCGGATACTGGGCGGGGCCTAGGAACGGCGGATATTGGGCGGGGCCTAGGAACGGCTAACCTACTGCTGATACCATCTCAGAAACAGAATACAGCGGAATGAGTAGGATTGATTGGGTTGGGGTACATATGCCTAACCCTTACTGTTTGTACTGTCAGAATGTTATTATCTAGCCTGTAGTGGGGTGCTCTATAGCGGGTACAACCCAGTTAGGGTTTGCTATATGTATCCCAACTGCAGCTAGTGAAATCTCCTCCTTTCTTCATTCTTATTTCTACTACTATTCTTAACATGCTATCAGAGCAGGTCGACCCCCTTGGGTCGATCCTGTGGGTGGGCCCGCCACCTAACTGCTTCCGCTGCTGTTCTGCTTCTCGCGCGCCTCGGGCGCGCGTGCCAAAATTTTTAGGGTTTTCATCACGCCGTGCGCCCCGAGGCGCGCGGCGGTTTTCTGCCGTGGGGGACCCGCGCGCGACACCCCGCCCTTCCCGTCGCGTCGCCCTGCAGGCCGCGCGCGGGTCTGCAGGCCGCGCGCGGCCTGTCTGCCCGTCGCGCGGCCTTGGGGAGCAGCGCGCGGCCCCCGCCCTTCCCGTCGCGTCGCCCTGCAGGTCGCGCGCGGGTCTGCAGGCCGCGCGCGGCCCGTCTTCCTGCCGCGCGGCCTTGGGGAGCCGCGCGCGGCCCCCTTTTCCCCGTCGCGGCGCCCTGGGGAGCCGCGCGCCGCCCCCGGGGACGCGCGCGCTCGTCCCCCTGGACCCGCGCGCCCCTCCCCTGGACCCGCGCGCTGCCCCCGGGGACCTCCGCGCTCCCCCCCCGTCGACCCGCGCGCCGTCCCGGTTCGCCACGAGCGCCGCCCCCGCTGCTGCCCGCGCTCCTGCCTGTGTTAGGGTTTGGCGGTGGCGAGTATGGGGGTGACAAGTGTGTGTGCCGTCCCCTGCTCCTCCTCCTCCTCCGTCTCCCACTGCTGCAGCTGTCGCTGAGGGGGGTGGGTGTGTGGGAGCCGAGGGTTTAGGGTTTAAGGGGGGTGCCGTGGGAGTGGAGCTAGGGTTTCAGCAGGGGGTGTGTGTCAAGGGTGTGGGTCAGTTGGAGGAGGTTGTGTGGAGGTAGCTGTCGTGTCGCCTGCAGCGCCTGTAGTCCGTCGCCCTTGCTTCGGTAGCCAGTGAGCCTGTTGCACCAGTCGCCAGTGGGTCCGTTGCTCCTGCCGCTCGTCTTAGCCGCGGAGCCAGTCACTCCAGTAGTCCGTCGCCCTTGCTTCGGTAGCCACTGAGTCAGCCGCTCCTGTGCCCGTGCCTCTGCAGCTTCAGTCGTTGCCTCCCATCTTCTCTCCTTCCACAGTTCCTCCTCCTCCTCACTTGCCCGCTGTGATTACCTCTAGCTTTGCTTATTATTGTGAACTCCTGCTATGCCTACTCATTGTGCTGATTATACCCCACTTTGGCTATGGGGGTGTGTCAGAATGTTATTATCTAGCCTGTAGTGGGGTGCTCTATAGCGGGTACAACCCAGTTAGGGTTTGCTATATGTATCCCAACTGCAGCTAGTGAAATCTCCTCCTTTCTTCATTCTTGTTTCTGCTACTATTCTTAACATGTACCACATCTAGCATGACCCACAACAGGCTATAACATTTGACAAATACCTGTACCATAAATGGCCATGCTGGCAAGAGTGCTGCCACGGAAAACGCTACGGTATCGGTCCTCGCTAGCGAGAAAAAAATTGCCTTCTGCTAATCAATATAGAGATGAGGCTGGAAGGCAGTCGCAGAGGAGCCAAGTGTGTTTTGGATGTTGGCTAGGCTTCTTTGCCACATTAAAAATGACAAAGCGTTTTGCACATTCCATTGTATCCAAATGTAGAAGATAAGCACCCAGCACATGTACTTGCCAGATAGCTTCAGCCGAACTTGTATCGGGTTAAGGCGAAATGTCAGGTTTCACTGGGCCTTCACTACAACCGAACACGTGGAGCGTAAACGAATCTGGGGGAGTCCACGTCCCAACATGACACGTCGAGTACGTCGAGTAGAAGGGGTGATTGTTCGTGTTCCTAGCGTGTATTTCCCAGGCAGACCGTACAGTTGCGATATCCCTGACCGCGCTTCGAAAGTCGGTTTGGCCGAGCACGGGCGAAAAGGCTTCGCGGGCAGGTAACATGCTGTCGTTAGTTTCGTTACGGATGTGATGTCTCGCATTTTTCTGATTTCCAATTGGAATTGGCGCAAACAGTGGTGTGGTGATGAGGTGAACTGACCCAAGCCAAGTTGCAGAATCATTAGTCGCCTAGATGGACGTGCTCGTGAATCAGAGCCTCTTCTTTTCCTTCAGCAGTTTCCCATCGATAAGCAATGGCGTCGTCTGTTCTTCCTCCAGCTTGCGCTGCGTCTCTCGCCTCGCGCTGTCCTTCCGCGAGCCAGCTTTCCGAATTCGCGCGTTGCGCAATTCAGGCACCACCGCAACGGACTCGGCCAATCAGGACTGTCACTGCAGTGATGGGCGGAGGACCAGGCGACGTACCCGCGGTGGGGAATCTGGGCGCGCCGATCCCCGTCGCGTCGTTGTCGTCACCGTCGCCGAGCAGAGTGCGACCGGCTTTTGCGATCGCCAGCGAAGCGACGGAGGGCGGCGCTGCGACGTCGCCGGCGGCGGAGAAGGCGGCGCGAGTGGAGGTCCCCACAGAGACCGACGCACGCGGTGGGTTGCGCGCGCGGGAAAGAGAGGGGGACGTGCGGGTGGATGAGAGAAAGGAAGGAAGGCTAGAGCCGACGATGGAGATGCGGGTGTGGTTTCTAGGTCGAGCCGGCTATCACGTTTCAGGCGATTGTCCTGCGATATCACTGACCTCTACCCCCTTCTCTTTCTATCACTCTCGCCGCTCGACCCGTCCTTTGCTCTCGCCCACTCTCGACACGTCCAAGATATGTGTACACGTGGCCCACTCCGAACGGCGCATATATCCCTGGAAAGAGCGATCGTTGTCAACTTCGGGGGCGTAATTGCCCTCGAACTGCAGGTGACAAGAAACGTCGCCTCGAACGCTAGTTACAGCTTCGTAGGTTAGCCCTTATAGCACCTCGTGGTTAGCCACAGGAAGGTTACCTCGAGGCAAGTTTAGGCTAAGCACAAGGTAAGATTTGAGGCCCCCATTTTTTGAGACGCCCACCCGCCGTCCTCCACGGTCCCCTCTCACTCTCGTGTCCCCATGCAGGCCTCACGCGCATGGTACTTCAGGAGGGGGGATACGAGCAGTGGGAGTGGCAAGGCAACAAGGTATGCCCGCATGACCTCCCTGCTCGCTTCGTACGCCTCGCAAGCATCCGCGTATGCACCTTATGCCCACGCACGGCAACCGACTCTTTCTCTCCCCAACTCGCTCCCCGTCATCGCCCTCGCTCTCCCCCCTTAATGGCATGGCAAACATGAATAACACCCATTCGTTCCGCCCACCTCGCCCCCCCCCCCCCCGTACCCCTACGTTGCTCTCCTTTCCCCACGCCTGCTGTCGCTTCTCCCACTCCCCCCTCCTCGCTCTCCTTTCCTGATGCCCGTTGTCGCTTCCGCCCCACCTCCCGCTCACTTCACCCTGTGAGAAGGTGAACTACGTGGTGGCGGGGGACGTTAATAGTGACGCCACGCCCGTGTTCTTCCTTCATGGCTTCAATGTCTTCTCCCCCTTCCTCTTCCCCCCCTTCTTCCCCCACTTGGCGTCACCCCATATGAAGGTGAACTACGTGGTGGCGGGGGACGTTAATAGTGACGCCACGCCCGTGCTACTCATCCATGGGTTTGGCGCCTCTGTCTACCACTGGAGGTATGGCCGTATGGGGAAGGGGGGGAGTGTATGAGAGGTGATTATGGTGAATGCAGCAGGCTCATGGCATGGGCCTGAGTCTGAGTCTTTATGGAGTCTCCTGTGCAGGTGTTTCCTCTCCTCCCACCTTCTAAGCCCTCCCCTCTCCTCCCCCCTTGCCCTTCCTTGTCCACCAATTAATCTCCTACCTCAATTCCTTCGCTCATCCCTCCCCCCCCCCCCCCCCTCCCCCCATCCCCTCCCCCCCTCCACCAGGTACAACATTCCAGCGCTGGCAGCCTCGGGAAGACCAGTCTACGCCATCGATCTCATCGGTTTTGGGTGGAGCGACCGCGCGCTCATCCAATACAGCGCCGCCATGTGGGCGGACCAGGTCTCCTCCTTCATCCGCGACGTGATTGGCCGCCCCGCCGTGCTCGTGGGCAACAGCGTGGGAGGGTACGTAACCCTCACCACCGCAGCCAACCACCCGGATGTAGTCGCCGGTACTGTCCTTGTGAACGCCGCAGGCAAGTTCAGCGAGGCTCCTCCCGGCACGGCACCCCTTTCCGGAGCGGACGAGTCTCCGAGAGAGCTCAAAGCAAGGAAAGCCGCGGCAGCGATGCCAGTGGAGACTCACGGGCACCAGCATGGGGCAGAGGAGCAGGTGCCTTTCTCGGTGGTGGTGCGGGAGAAGGTGGGGGAGCTGGTGGAAGGGGTGGTGGCGGCGGTTGGGAAGGTTGCTCGGCGCGTGGTGCTGCACGTGACGTTTCTGCAGGCGAAGCAGCCGGGGAGGATCAAGCAGGTGCTGGAGTTAGTCTACCCGAACGCTGCGAGTGTGGACGAGGAGTTGGTGCGGTCGATTGTGCTGCCCACGCGCGATCCGAACGCCGCCGAGGTTTACTATCGGCTGTCTACTCAGGTGCTGCTGCATCCCTCCGCTCTCTCCCTCAACGACCTCCTTTCGTCCCTTCGAGCCGCATCTGAGAGTCCCATGCTGCTGCTTTGGGGGGCCCTGGACCCCTGGATGACTCCCGCCAAGGCGCAGACTATTGTTGATAATTACTCTGCGGCACAGAGGGTGGACATTTCTGCAGGGCATTGCCCGCATGACGAGGACCCAGATGCGTTCAACCAAGCGTTGCTTCAGTGGCTGCAGCAGTCAAAGTTTTGAAAGATTATAATTTTTAAACACACATGTAGTGTTTTTTAAAATTGTGTATTGTGAAAGCGAAGCTGCTTGTACTGCACAATTGGCATCGTCGAAGCGCGCTAAACGCCCTTCTCCAACTACAAAAACCGTGGGTTGGAGCTCATTTCCCTCCACCCACGTTTCTCAATTTTCAAACGGCTCACTCAACATTCCCACCACCCACCCCAGAGTAAACCGCCTTGATAATGCCACTTGGATAGGGTACATCCTAGCTAGTATTATTAGTCCGCACTAGCTTGTGTCGAACGATGATGATACAAATGTTGTAATACGCCATTTGTAATGAGAACGATGCCAATTGATAAGAAAGAAAGCAAGCTTTCTCAATTGAGCGCTGGTGTAGTACTGTAAGGAATGGGAAGGGAATGGTTTGGTTTTGACAACCTCGAGTCAGCGGTACGCTCTCCGTGTGGTTTCCGTGTGGAATTACAGACTCTGTTCACTGCTGTACAGACACGTGTTTGGAGAACGATTCCCTAATAGTAAGATGGCCATTTCACCGATAGTGACATATTGCTGCTGCCAAGTACCCGGTATATACATTGTATAAATCTGCACGATGGTCATTACTACTACAACATGGTTGTAGATAAATCTTGTACTGGGGGAACTTATCTACGGCCATATTCCTAAGCTTTGAGAACATACCGTAATCCCCCGTATATAGGACCCCCCCCAGTTGTAGACCCCCAGGTCTATAATACGGACCTGGGTACTCTATTCGAGTACTTCTTAGTTATACCCCCCTAAATGGCTCCTAACATTAAAAGACCCCCCACATCCTAGAGAAGTGCGGATTTAAAAAAAATGTAACTGAAAATAGTCATATTCCATGTTGATTAAGAGAAATCGCACCCAGAAACGATGCCCTGCGCTGTCGTGTGAACACCAAGTGGTGTTGGTGGCCAATGGGAGGAGGCTCCCAGATAGGGTTCGTGATGACGTGGGTTCGGCCCGTGTGGAGACCAATTCGAGTATTTTTGGGAGGAGCTAAAAACATAGCACTTCCAAATCACTTCTTTGAGCTCCAAAACTACATTCTTATAAATGTCAATATGAACAGACCCGGGTCTTCTAAAAAGTATACAATTAAATTATACCCCCCAGCCTTTTTAGGGGTGATTATCATAAGACCCTAGGGTCTTATATACGGGGGATTACGGTAAGTGATTTCTGATGAAAGCTTTACATTTTATGTTATGTCATATTCAAGAAGAATTCACTTCCGGAACACAACTTAGCAACATCTATATGCTAGGGACAACCACGCAAGAATAACGCATTTCCCCATGTCAGGAACTTTGGTGTACACCTTGTTCGGTGAAATTGCCCGCCAAAACAAAACTATCTGTACCGTACACACTTGTACGGATGTGTACAACTCATCTGTTTCTCATGCGCTGGAGTTCACAAACGCGTGGACGCCAGACACATGTCGAGAGTGACCAATGTGTTAGAATCTAGCAGCAGGAATGGATGAACTAACAGGATGCAGGAGTACAAGTAGTAAACCCTAACTAGGTTGTACCCCATATGGGCTACCCCACTACAGCCTAGACACTATGCAGCACATATAGTTTGACACACCCCCATAGGCAAAGTGGGGGAGAACAAGGGGTCACACGACCAGTCAAGAGAAGCAAAACAAGCTCAGGGTGGATCACAACGTCACCACGCATTCTGAGCACAAGCAAAGGGCCACTGGGCCAGTTCACATGCAGAGATATATATGCAGCAATAACAGTACAGTGATGGCTACCTAGCAAGAGCCAGCATGCATATATATATATGTACAGATCACAGTACAAGCAGAGACTACAGCAAGTGTGGAAACGTAGGCACAAGGCCTAACAGAGTACAAAAGCGCTGATGATCACCAGACGGAAGTGCCTTGGTGAATATGTCAGCAGTGTTGGCCCGAGTGGCCACGTGGCGAAGACGAAGCTGGCCTCGCTGCTGCAACTCTCGAGCCAGGAAGTACCGCAGAGCAATGTGCTTCGTTCTGTGCTCCAGTCTGTGCTCCTCACACAAGGCAATGGCGGCCTTGTTGTCAACGTACAGCACTGGAGGAGAACGAGGCTGCTCTCCCAAGTCAGTCAGCAGGTAGGTGAGCCAGCGTAACTCCTGTGCAGCCATGGCGGTGGCGTAGATCTCAGCCTCACAACTGGAGCCGAGAACTGAAGTCGAGCGTGTAGAACGCCACGAAACTGAACCAGAGCCAAGGCTGAAGGTGTAACCCTGTGACGACCGCTGAGTAGCCAGGTCGTCAACCCAAGAAGCGTCTGAGTGCCCAGTGAGGACAACTGGGCTCGTCCCTCCAAGCACTAGCCCCATGCCTGATGTGCTGCACAAGTAACGCAGTACCCTCTTAGCAGCAGCCATGTGCTCAGGTCGGTGCCGACCAGGAGCCACGTAGCGAGCGAGGAGACCAAGAGGGTACGCGAGGTCAGGTCGAGTGCAAGTCATCAGGTACATGAGGCAGCCGACTAGCTCTGGGTAAGGACCACTCGGCTCTACGGACTCGTCCGAAGGTGGAGCTGAGAGCGTGTGACCTGTAGCCAGAGGAGTGGCCTGTGCTGAAGACCAGGTGAAGCCGAAGCGCTGAAGGACCTGCTGCACCATGTGTGACTGAGTCAAGGTGATGGTGCGACGTGCTCTGTCTCGGGTGATCTGCAAGCCAAGGTAGCTGCGCAGCTCACCCAAGTCTGTGCACGTGTGTCTCTTCTGCAGCTCCGACTTCACGTGGGCGAGAGCCTCAGTGTCAGCAGTGGCAAAAACCAAGTCGTCGACGTACACGAGGATGTAGAACGGCGGCAGGGAAGTGTCGGTGCGCAGAAACAGCGACGGGTCAGCAGTAGAAGGCGCAAACCCAAGAGCCGCAAGCGTAGTCCTCAGTGTGTCGTGCCACTCACGTGGCGCCTGGCGGAGACCGTAGACTGGCCGCCGGAGGCTCCACTGGGTACCAGGAGGGAACGACCCAGTGAAGCCCGGGGGGCGGCGCAGCCAGATCTCCTCGTGCAGGCTACCCTGCAAGAAAGCTGTGCTGAAGTCAAGAGAGTGAAGCTCGTAGTCACGGTGAGCAGCAACGTGCAGCAGCACCCGAAGAGTGGTCATCTTCGGGGTGGGGAAGAAGTCAACTCCCTCTCGCTGACTGAAGCCTCGAGCAACGTAACGAGCCTTGAAGACAGGCAGAGAACCCGGCGGCCGCTTCACCCTGAAAATCCACATGCCACTGACGATGTTCGCCCCAGGTGGGGGAACCTCGTCAACGTAGGTGCCTGTGGACTTCCAGGAAGCCATCTCTGCGTCCATGGCTGCCTGCCACTGAGAGGAGTAGGGACCCTCTATCGCCTCTGTGTAAGAGCGCGGAGTCGGGATGTCTGGTGCATCCGGGTCTCCCTCAGGGGCAAGTAGCGAGGACACAAGATGAGGTAAAGCAGCAGCAAGGCACTGGAACTCCTCCTGCCTGTCCTCAAGGACGTCCGTGCTAAGAGCACACTCACCCCCGACGGATGGAGGACAGACAGACTCAGACTCAGTAACAAGACTGGCAGTGAAGTCTAGACGACAGGCAGCAGCAAAGTCAACAAGCTCAGCGACAAGAGCAGACGCAGCAGCAGACTCAAACGACGGGTCAGTGACAACTGTGGCTAGTAGACGCGTGACAGTAGGGTGCTGAGCACGAAACCGGTCAGACGCAGGGTCCGGAACGTCAGGCAAAGAGGACGCAGGAGGAGACGGCAGAGGAACAGGCTGCGGAACAGAGGAAGGACGACGGACTACGAGGTGCGCGCTGGGGACAGCCGGCGGACGCGAACGAGGAACACGAGGACCGGTACGACCAGGACGAGCAGGCGAGACAGGACGCGACGCAGGCTCACGACGCACAGCAGGACTACCAGTCAGCTCAGCGTAAGGAGAAGGAGCAGGCAGCGGCGAGCCAGTCTGTAACGGAAGACCAGTAGACGACGGAAGAGTAAGAACCTGACGAAGAACAGAGGCAGACGGCGGCAGAGACGACGGAGACGGCGGAGCGAAGAACAGTCGTGTCGGCGCAGCTGCACCAGAACCAGCAGCTCCAGCAGCTCCAGTGCCTCCAGCAGCTCCAGTACCTCCAGCAGCTCCAGTACCTCCAGTAGCTCCAGAAGCTCCAGGCCCAGAGCCGACACCTCTGTGTCTCCAGCAGCAGCACCCCCAGAACCAGCACCTCCAGTCCCAGGGTCTCCAACCGCAGTGTCTCCAGCACGAGCCCCTCCAGAACCAGCAACTCCAGCACCTCCAGTAGACAAAGGACCAGCACGACTCCGAGCTCCAGCAGCGCGACGCTGACGGCGACCGTACCAGTCCTGCAGCTGCTGTGGGGTGAGAGGCACACGGGGACGAAGGCGGCCACTCCAAGGAGACCGCGCAACAGCAGACTCAGAACCCTCAGCGCCCGCACCCCCAACGGCTCCAGAACCTCCGGTGTCAGTACCCTCAGCACCAGTACCTCCAGCGACTCCAGAACCTCCAGCGCGAGCACCCTCAACAGCTCCAGGACCTCCAGCTCCAGCGCCACCAGGACTAGGCCCTCCAGCAGCTCCTGAACCTCCAGCGCCAGCACCCTCAGTAGCTCCAGAACCTCCAGCGTCAGTACCGCCAAGCTCAGCACCCCCAGACCCCTCACACGCAGGCTCAGCACCACCAGGCTCTACACCCTCAAGCTCCGCACCCTCAGGCTCAGTACCCCCAGACTCAGCACCCCCAGGCTCCGCACCCCCAGGCTCAGCACCCCGAGCAGGACCACTCGCAGGAGGACCTGAGTCACCAGTGACCTCAACCGGCGCAGTCAAGGGAGGAGGGTCTACCTGAGAAACACCTGAAGGAGCAGGACCGGGAGCGGGGAGGGGGTCTACCTGGGGAGCACCTGGAGCAAGGAAGAGCGGCGGGGGGGGGGAGCGAGGCAGTGCGGTAGGGGAAGA